CACACACACACACACACACACACACTTATGCGCGGTCTGTGCGAACTCACGTACACCCCGAACACACGCGATCATGTGCAATCATTTGCTGTAGATGTACTTCTATTGTTACTTTATTGGTCTGATTGGGAGGTAAAAGTAATTTGACACAAGCGTGAGCTGAACGTCTTTGTACGCGGGTCTTATTTAGACTGTTCAAACAGTGCAGCTTTTGGTTCTGATGTTATGGTTGTCAGTCTTTTTAATGTCATTGGCTTTATCGATTACTATGCCGAGCTAAATACAGAAAGACTATAAATCTATGTATAAATTCAAATCCGGTCGCTCGAAGGAAAATTACCGAAAATCGATTTCATAAAACGTTTGAGTACAACCTACTCTGTACTCTTTTCTGCGTCCTCTCATAATATAATCCACGTTAAGTGTTTGCCTGAGGGGTTTTACGGGGCAATTCTGAGGTTCCTTAATAGACGAGTCACTCACGAGCTGTTTGTCCTAGATACGATACACCCATGATTGTCTAACCCAGGTCATTACTGGAGTGGTGCGGATTGAAATGTCAGAATCGTGATCACCTCAAATATAGTATTCCATCTTTATATGAGTCGCCGGGTCAAGCACTAAATATAACCTATGAAGTTTATTTTGGCGTGTGACAGGTTCTTTGCTATGTCTAATAGTGTCAAGAGCTCTTTAAAGTTCTGTGAATGATGGGAACTTTTCTTTCCTTTTATTGTGTCCACCTGTTTGTCTTGCTTTTTTTCCTTGCTCCAAGTGACCGTTATAGTCACCTTATTGTGCTTCTTTGTACTCAATGCTAAGACCAAAACTATATGATAGTGATTTATCTGCCCAGGTGCTTTTCTTTACTCAACACTAAAACTAAAAACTGTATGAATGACTGTTAGTTGGTGGTTGGCGGGTGCTTTGGTGTGGTTTGCTACTTCTTTTTTTATCAAATATTTATCTTCCTAATCTCCCCTCTTTCTGTTTTGTTTTTGTTACTCTCTTGTAACGCCTCTAATCTTCGGCACTTATATGACCTTACTGTGTTGCAAGTGCCGTAAAACTCTTACAAAAAAAAAAAAGACTTATTGTTAGTCTGCCGATGTGCGTCTCTTTACTCAACACTAAAACTAAAAAGTATACAAGTGACTGTTATCCTGTCGACGTGCTTCCCTTTACTCAACACTTGAAAATTAAAAAAACCCAACTATGTAAATGTTGCTAGTCTCTAAACCATGACTAGATAATTATGTCGGTGCAGTTTGGTGTGTTCCGACTACTGTCTCGGTGTTCCTTCTATCATTATCTGTTCTCCGCGAAATGTCGCCGTTATCGGCCAGGCTCGCTGTTAAGTGCCTTCCCACCCGTCTGAACTCTAGACCAAATGGAAAACTCTTGTCCGTATTCCCCTTGAGACCTGTATGCTAAGCCCTCTCTCCCGACATGCGGTTAAAATATAATGCTTGGGTTATTTGGGGACGGCTATTGATAAGTCTTTACGTTGATTTTATTTTTTGTATGCATAGGTTTGGTGCCTCACGAGACCCGGAAAGGTCATTATGGGGGCGGGCGGAACCCGCTTTGTTGGGTTTTTGGGAGACCGTGTATTGCTTGACCGAGGCCATGGTCGACTGGTTAGCTTGGAAGACGGTTGGATTACAGACACCGTACGAGTCGGTGGATGGGTGGTTAGCGGGCGTCATTACTTCATTTCTTTTACCTTTTTTGCTTTTACTTGTCTATCTTACTGTTCCCCTGCACTTAAAGACCAGTTATTGTGTTGATTTGTTAATCTTTATTTAAACTCTAGAGACTTAATAAGGAGAAGAAATGCTACTCCAACGCCAGAAAAATGGTGGGAAGTGGGGGGGGGGGGGGGGAGTTACCCCTCTTGATTTTGAGGCAGTAAACAAGCAAAACTCCGTGGTCCTCTCGGATCATTCAAATGCTTGCAGGAGGTTGGCCGGTGCTGTGGTGTGGTCTGCTCCTTCTTTTTTTTATATCACCAGCGCCGTTTTTTTTTTATCTCTCCTGTCTTTTATTTTGTGTTGCTCTCTTGTCACACCTCTAATGGTTCGCACTTATAAGGCCCATATTTGTTGCAGGTGCCCTGGAGCTCTTACTATAACTAAAAAAATGTGAATGCTCTAAAGTATTTGATTGCCCAACATTGTGACTTACATCGATCTCTCTCTCTCTCTCTCTCTCTCCCCCCCCCCCCCCCCCCCCCCCTCCCACTCAGGGCGCTCCGGAGCTCACAGTGGTCATGGAGGATTACGCCGCTTCCAGCCCCAAGGAGGTCAGCGTCCAGAGAGGCCAGCAGGTGGAGGTCATCGACGCCTCGCCTGGTCAGCTGGACTGGTGCCTGGTGCGGACGCTGCCTCCCGACGGCGCGGACAGTGCGCAGGGCCTGGTGCCTGTCTCCGTGCTCAAACCCTTGGCTTTTCTACAGACGCCCGGCGCCAGGAACTCCATCGACCTGGACGGTCAGTGTATAGTAGTACTTAGTATTGTATATCGTCGCCGTTCATCATCGTTGTTGTATGTCAAAATACGAGCTTTCCCGCAGAAAACGGGTTTGTTTCGAACAGAACGATATCTTTTACGGTAATACAAAATGTAAAGCCGTTACTGCGTGAAGATTAGGAATTAGATTAGGATCGAAACGATGCGATTTATCAAATTCTACAACAAACTTGATTTTCATTTTAAAAATTGTTTTTAGTACAAACTGCAATGCTGAATCACGGCGACGATATGGTAGTTTGTGTGTGTGTGTGTGTGTCTGTCTGTCTGTCTGTCTGTGTTTGCACACGCATGTGCGTAAATGTGCGAGCGCGTTCGATTGAATGTTTACATAATAATAATGATATTTCTTATGTGCGTGTGTGTGTGTGTGTGTGTGTGTGTATGTGTGTTTGTGTGTTTGTGTGTGTGTGTGTGTGTGTGTGTTTCACTTGCACACGTACGTG